ACTTACTGACAAAACATTCAATTCGTAAAACAATTATACAAACTAACCGTGGTAAACTAAATTTTTCACTTATATGATAACGCGAAAACCTAAATTATGTTCAATAGGAACGTTTTGTGGTTGAGAAGAAATATTGTCAAGAGGTCCATATAGAAATGGTTATTGTCAGCTGGTTGATTGCATAGTTGGTTTGTATATGTTTTGCAGTTACAATACTTCAACATTATACCTATCGTTTCTTTATCAACTTTTCAGATTTTCTTACAAAGGGATTCACGCCAAAAAGTTAAATTTTACTTTGAATTTAACCAGCAGTTATTTTATCAGCTGAAAACAGATTCACTGGGATGTTGGATCATACACTAACTGAACTTCTCAACAACATTTCCTAATGCTTAAGTGTACAAATCTATGTTTTAACTAAATTTCAGCAGTTAGTATTGTAGCGATGTCAAATAATAGTTAACAATAAAAATTTGCAACAACCTACTTATTTATGTAACTCAGAAAACTAAATTATAAGGACAAGCAATATTCGTAACATGTGTTACGATGAAAAAATCGTAACTTCTAACCGGGAACTTTAGTTTTAACTTGTTGATATCAGGAAAATAATTGTTTGTGTAGCGAAAGTAATGTTTATGTCAGGAAAAGGCTTAATATTATTATCAGTTTTTGGTGTTTGGAAATTGACAGTTTTGAAGATCTAAGTTGTATGGAAATGGGTTTTTTCGAATACGGAGTGATGAAAATAAAATTTTAAAACAGCTGTCACTACAAATATATAAGAAATCGTATTGACAAATATGCCTTTCAGCTTAACAAATTAGTGTATAATGAGGATTTGTTGAATTGTTTATCTTGATTTTTAAACGTAAATCACCTTATAAATTTACCAGGACAATCGATTTGACCCTTAAAATGAGATTGATTCGTAGAGACCGTGTGTCTTATTACTATTATAGTTTTATGTTATCCTCCATCATAAAAAATAACAAATGATAAGTTAATGTATGTTTTTTTACGTGATATAAGAGTACTTTATCTTATTCTGCATTGAAACGGTAATTTTCCATAATACTTCCATACTTAAAAATACTACTTTTAAAATCACGAAGGAACTTAGAGAATAACTTAAAGAACTAAGTTAAACAATATTTTAAGTACTGTACTTTTCCAAGATAAAACAAATATGTAACATGTACCATATTACTAATAGGTGAAAACACTATACAAAGGTTTAATTTCTGAGTATTAACGCGTTTTGAAGTTATTATTTTTATACCAGCTTGCTCTGATGTTTGTAGTCATTAAGGGTGACAAACCCGGCTTTGGACATAAAGAGTGTATTTCTCAATTGTAACACGCAGAAATAACTGTGTTCATGCGATATACCTGTCAACAATAATGGTTGCTGAGTCCGGGATGTAGACCTCATTAAAATATACACTGAGGATTTATTTGCGTTGAGTTATGTTAACATGATTTACCTCCCCTCAATTACAATGGTATTATTTTAATTAAATTTTTATTATTAAAAGTTAATTTTTTTCTGTATAACATATGATTTTATAGGGTTTTTATTTGGGATGTTTTCAAAGATTGGGTGTACCATACAGAAAAAACTTTGTTTTTATACGATAAGGTTGCCGTTAAACTACGAAACAGGAGTTTCAGCAGCCTTCAATAATATATTTCGTACCTAGGGCCGAAAATGACATTTTGCCGGCTCGAGGTGGGTACAAAATTCAAAACGATTGACTATTGCCACTATTCACCACAATAATAACGCTAACGCACAATAACAGTCAACACTACTGCTACATTCAAGTTATGTGAAATATTTTAAGAGATAAGCAAAAAATAACAATAAATAGTTGCCTAGGCAGCAGTGACAATAAAGTAATTGCAATGCGTACTAGTTTGTGTATTTAATATAAACATAAATAAAACATAGTCGTTTTATCTATGATATAAAATAATGTTTTATGTAAATTAGTAAAAAGCTTGTTTTTTGGCCCTATGGATGTGAAAACCTGCTTTGCCCCCAATTGAAAATGACAGCTGGCATTTTGATCCTGGACAGCAATGCGTAGCTTTCGGCCTCCAATTCACCACGTCTGTAATGGCTAAAAACATTGAAATGTGGTGAAAATGAAGTTTATATATAAAATAGATAACTGCAAATAGTTCCCATCCCCTCAAAAGCAACTCACAGAGTACGCCGTATAGTTGATAAAGCACACCAAACTTCATACAAGGGTTTACTCAAACTGTACTTTGACTTCAGAGGTTCAAACAGTTTACTGTGGACAGATTAAGGTAAAACTTTGGCATTAGGTTCAAACTATCACTGAGTAAACGGCCAGTCACACTAACACGGCTTTTCAAAACATAATCAATCAAATGTTTAAATTTATACTGATATTCTTTTTTCTTTTGACATGAAGAGTGTTAAAATAATTTTTTCAGTGTTCACCTGCAAATGTGTTGTTTGCAGATTGATTGGATCATGTTGGTTAATTGTAGGGAGTTTAATTATTTTTATTATACAAGCAGATAAATTAAATACTAAACTTAGTTGTTTTATAAAGTAGTTCATACAAAATATTGTGCGTGACCTTCTCAATCTTGAAGGATATACAAGGTTTCACTTTCGATCACAAAGTAAATTATTCTGTCAACCGTGACGGATTGATACATTGGCAAGTTGAGTCAGTATGCTTAGTTTGTGACTGAAATTGTGAAAAATCTAATACTGTTTACTTAAATTATAAAAAATGTCATCGAGTTGTCTTTGTGAAACGAGAATTAAGATAGGTGTTAAAATAGCCCGAAGACCTTCAGTTTTAAAAGCGAAGAATATTACTAATCAGCTACCCAAACAGAACTCTTGCTAACTATGTTTTACCTTCCCACATTCTAGGATATCCAGACAAATAGTTGTATTCTACCATTTGACACTAACGATTATGTGATATAAGTTATGCCATCGAGTATTATGCTAAATGGGTTTGAATTGTTTATTCTGTATATTTTGTGTCACTAGGAAACGATCACATCATTACCAAATGAATATATAAAAGCAGACTATAGGTGAAGCAAATTTGAAACTGGCATATTTTTTATGAATGACATTAACTGTAACATGTTGACAGAGTATTATAAAATAGAGTGCAAAAATAACTCACGTATCAAAAAAAAATCAAAAACCTTTTTATCGTTACTTTGACTTTGACACATTTTTGAAATAATTTTTTTTTAATCAGTGTATATTATGTTTAAAACTGTTAACATTGAACCACAAAATTACAAAATTTCTGCAATTCTCTTGGTATGATAAAACATGCAAGGTACAAATATATGGGAAGGAATACAAATCATTGCTCACAAGGGCTGAGATGAAAGGAAATATGTCATGTAATTCTGTTCTTTTCATCTTCCCCCGACGCGTTATTATTGAAATTGGAATCCCTTGATACATTTTACAGGATTGTGAAAAATGTGTTTGGAAATTCCATTAGACAACATAAGCGTTACGCGGGGTTTTCTCTGTGAGCATTTAATGTTTCGAGTATTTCTTCGACTTTTCTTCACACTACTACATTTTAAACAACCATTGAAACCCCTATTCCAATTTCATTTTTTCAAGCACTGAAATTTAATTTCTTTTGCAAATAAGCTAGTATGACTTCTAAGTAAAGTTTTGACAAATTAAAGTAATAGCAAAATCAGAATAAATTACATTTAACAATCTTTACAATTAACTGGAAGAGATATTTTAAATTTAAGCTACACGATAACTAGAGATTTTACTGGGTCCTTTCTTATAATGAATTCGATCAAAATATAAACCCAAAGTTTTCTGAAATGCAAGGTTCTTTTAATAAATTATAAGAATACTAGGTGTATTAAGCAAACTTCCCACGATTTGGAGTTTTTGGTTGTTTAATCTAACTTCATCATGAGCTAACTGTCTAAACTTGTTAAACTCTCGGAAACTCTTGTTTCGTCGTTTAACAGGATATTTACGTATATGATTACCAAGTTTAACTCCTTAGTGATTGTGATTTTAGTTAAACAGGCAGGTAAACTACCGGCTTGATGTTATCATCAATTAAAACTTGTCAAGACAACATGAGCGTTATAAGATTATTTTCAACATGTGTAATTACATTTAGAACATTCTCTGTTATTTATCTGTTGAATCAATTCATTAGAAAGCATTCTACAAAAGTCTAGGTTGTAAGAAATTCCTAATTCCGAAGACACAATTTGTCTCTATTTGTGACAAAGACAAACTTAGTGATTATCAATGTGACATATCGTAAAAATATATATTCCTTAATTATTTAACCATAAAAAGGTAGTTTAAAGTTTATTTTCAAGGAAATATACACTGTTTCGTAATTAAGACTTTCTTTTTGTGATAAATTACGTCATTGGCATAAAAGTACCATTCAATCATGAATGAAACGTCAATCAACTATTTGCCTTTGAAAGTAATCACACGGCAAAACCTTCACAGCTCAACCGTATATCAAAAAAGTAGATGATTTTGAGTGTGGGTGATATTATTTTTATCATTTATACTGTTTTGTCTTATTACCACAAAGTTATTTTACCTTGTAGTAAAACTGTTTTGGCAGAGGTACCTCTATACACCTCTTTACCTTCCACCTCAATCAATCTTGATATCCAATCTGACGTTTTTGGATGGCCAAGAAGACACAAGAAAAAAGCTATACTAATCGATAGTTTGTTGCTATGCAAACCATTACGCACTAATCATTGGAGCTGTCAAAATGAGTAGGAGTCATAGAAAACACCATAGCTGACATTCATTACAGGGGAAGCAACATATGAACTAAGTTGGGCGCAGGGGTGAGTCGTTGAGGGGGTGTGTGACGTAGAAGGGCGGTTGGGGGGGCGCGCGCCACTCAGATAACTTCTACACTCGCGCTGCTCCGGACGTGTTTTGCCCTCACTGCGCGGCAACATCGAGTCTTAGCCGCCAAACTCAACGATAACGAAGACACTTATCAATTGTGATGTGACTATGTTCGATTGTATGTGGTTAAGTATGGTTTCAATGTAAATATAAGGTAAGATTTTGGACTTGGAAGAAATATTTGGTGTTCAAAAAAGTAGTTGGTTATAGAATATTCTAAATTATAAAAAAAATTGCTTAAATGTTATATACCATTGGTAAATATTTACCAAAGATATATTTACCATATACGTAGTAAGGTATAAACGCAAATTCAAATTATTATTTTGCAAATTAAATTAATTGAATATTCTTCAATTAGTAGGCCTAAGTATAGAAAAAATTACATTTTAAATTATCAAGGGCCTAAAATATTTATATTTGCCTGTATTATAGTCAATTCTGTAGGTTAAAATAATTAGGTTTTAAAATAAATAAATTAGGTACATTCTTGGTAATAATTTTTAATTTTCTATTTTCTGAATTCCATTAAGAGAACGAGATTTGTTTTATATCAGTTAGTTTTTCAAACAATTTAAAGGAATTGTAATGAAAACATTTTAATCGTTTGAGAGGAGGAATTTAAAGAAGCTTTCAAGGTATTTTTGTTTGTTTACTTTTACTTGTTATAAATTAATGTTAGGAGCATAAATAGATTGAATGAACCATTAAGCATTTTTCAGTCTCATTAATTCATAACTTAAGTACTTAAGCGGAAAGGATGCGAATATAAATTAATTTCGTTATTGAATTACATAATTATGAAATTATCATCAAAATAAAAATTAAAACATAATTTCAAATCGGTTAACAAGATATTGGGCTCTTAGATAATGGGCTCATTTATCTAAACAAACATGAAAGGTTCAGCTCTTCCTGTGTTGTCGCTTAGGTGTTATTAAAAATACCTTTAATTCAACAACCTGCAGACCAAGCAACTTTCCATTTCCCTGATTAGATTTTTACTTAGGTAAGTATTTAAATAGCATTTGTCTATTGACTAATGCTACTTCGGAGAGGGCAATGAAGTGTGTTTTTAGTAATATTAATAGCTTAGTATGAAATAAATAGATATGCCATGTTTGATCAAAATATAACCATATATAAGCTAACTACGCTTGTTTAATTATTATCCATAAAAAACATGGGAATTTGAAGTTAAAATTTGTTTTCTTAGTAACCAATAACCGTGCAAAAACACTTAAATATATAAATTATATGTATTTTAAGCACTACAGAATGGTTAGGAAAGAAACATTTCATGTTTTGGGATCAAAATGGAAAAATCAATTTTTGCCCAATAAAACCCCATTCCCATGGTCTGATCATGCAAACTCATTTAGGTTTATTCCGCCTTTGAACTTTAAGCCAAATTAATCAAAACCAGACAAAACATTTACGGACACATACACACATATGACATCAAAATGCAAAAAGTAAATCAGTCCCCAGGCCTAGGTCTTGCCGTGCCACCTACGATAATAACTACCCGGAGAAATTCTACAGGGTAAAGCTACAGGGAAATTCTCTTAAATGTAAAACGTATAACCTCTTAGCGCACACAAATACAAATAACAACACATGAGGTTGAGCATTTACTTTCTTTTATTACTTTGATTCTACAATACAGCTGCTTTTTTTTTATTTATTACCTTACTTAAAATTAATAAATAGGTTCTTTTCTACTAAACGATGAAACTGTTTAAAACCGGTTCATGTATATTTATTGTTCTGTTTTTGTACATTATTTTTATTTGTTATTCATCTACTCGTTGAACCCTATAAAAATCTGTCATCAAACTAAGTTGTTATTGGATTACACTCGAAATGGGAATTGTAATGAATAAAAATAACAAATCTTTGACACAAAGCCTTTGTAAGCTTTTGACACTTTTCCTCGTTTCACTGCTTCAAGGCTTTACTCACAGTCACAGAATATATTTGACATTTCTGGTTCTTTGTAAAGATAAATATTGTGTATACAATAGCTATAATCTAATTTCGCCCACACCATTGTGGAAAGAAAAATTTACGCACTTAAATTACATAGCTTGGCGATTGTGTTGACTCAACTAACAAACCATATTATTTAACATTTAGCCTATTAATTATTGTTCGATATTTTATCTTACAGTTCATTGTATCGAACCAATAAATATAAATGTTTGGTAATGTAAGCTATAAATGGAACTTGAATTGAATACGTGGTTGGATTGGAAAGTCTAAATCGAACATTCAATACATATTGAGTACACGTTTCAAAGAAGCCCTGTAATTTTCTGAAGAGTGAACAACCTTTATCCGCTGTGTACAAATTACCTCTTTATAATTTTTAAACTGTTATTCAGAACACTTAACAATACAATAGTGATTTTACTGTAACGTGATTTTATTTTATGTCAGACCACAGTATTAATGTTTTATCACAAACAGTAAAACTAAAGTTATCAGGTAAAAACTATGTATAGACAACAATGTGGAGAAAATGTTTGGACTTTTCATTAAAATAAAGTACACGTAAGATAAAAATATGAAAGAATTAGGCCTTTAAGAACTTTTTGTATCAAAATAAAAATAATTAAATGACACCAGGGCCGTAACTTAAGTTAGTGTGCTATAAATCACATGTTAATGCTTAAACAAGGTAATTTACCTGCCAACCGCACCTTTGCAGGGTTTTGGCGTTCAGGATTATTTGTTAATTTATGCAATATATAATTACACCATTACCTCCTTGGGGTTTTGTGGTGAAACAATTATCCTAAATTCACCAAACTCATATACTAAGATTGTCTTTAAACTTCTTAGCTTCTATTAGACCCATTTTTAAATTTAAAGTATTTAAGAGTCTTTACCTTATCATTTGTTAGTTATCATTCGTAAAGTGTATTATTCTTTCGTTTTCTTTCCTTATTGCAGTAGTATTATTCTGGGCATTATTCTTTGGTTCATTTTACTAAAGAGGTGTTCGAGAAAATGAAATTTGTGTTGCAGTATTAAAACTTACTTAAAAACTTGCTTGATTAAAAATTACACTGTTAAGCAATTTTTATGAAAAAACATGACAAATGAGTTTTTTTTCACTGAGACGAATGGACTATTAATAGAGTAAGAACATTTCCCTGTAGGAAAATTACAGTAAAAGTGCCATCAAAAAGAACAAGCAATAGTATCATTTTGCAACCGGCTCTTAGAAACTCAAACACTCCAGTAATAGAAGTGTCCATTCATTATTTGGAGCGATTTTAGAACTGAAAGTTTCCCAAGAAACTCTTGACAGCCTTGATTGTTCAGGATTATAGATTCATTGATAGTGATTATTTATGCTTTTCAACTCTTTTCAACCGTTTCCAGCCCTAATTTTAGAGTTAATTGTTCAATTTAAAAAGTAATTATATTTGCTAAGTCAAGCTGTTTTTTTACTCCATCAGGTTCCAGCTAGTTTTTTATTTGTAGCAAATAGTTAAAACAATTTATAGGCTTAGAATATAGGAGTTTCAAGATGCCGGGTAAGCGTTACTAATCTATTGTACAATCAGTTAATTTAGTTTATTCAACATTTAGTTAAAAGACAGAATCTTAAAATTTGCATAATTGTTTACCTTTTTCAAAATGTCCTTTTTGGAATGGCACATTGAATGTTGTTTTAAAATAGATGATTTTAAAGAGGAACAGTTAATACACGCTGAATAATATAGAAATTAAGTTACAGCAAATGAAACTATTAATTTTATATAATTAATACCGCATCAAAACGTATTCTTTGAAAAAATGCCCTTATGAAAGAACGTTCAAATTCAAAAGCTCTAACACTAACGACGATTATTATTAACATTAAATTATTGTGTTCGTTAAAAACTGCGACCATATAAACTAAACCAGTAACATTTCCTTTTTTAATGTAAAATATTTTACTACACTAATAATGTAAAAAATAAATTATATTTTGAAGGAAATTTTGATATTGTAACAGAAAATAAAACTAAAAAAGTCACAAAGAACAAAAAGCTGCATGATTATAGGAAAATATACTTTACACTCATCTTTGTAATAAATTCGTATTACAAGATAGTGCTAAATATTTGCATTTCAAATACATTAAGGTTGTAGCATTCAATATATTTTAAACTTGCATTAGTAAAATTTATTGACAAATACAGTTATTGTTACATACAGACTAGCTCCCTTCCTTCGTGGACAACAGTTATAACGAGGTAACAATCAATAATGTAAGAGCTTATAATTCATGGATGCCACAGACAAAGTACGTCATTATCCCTTTATTTACTGCGGAATTTTTATAAATAGGCTGACACAATAAATTATATCCACCATTTTTAGAACAAAACCTATGTAAATAATAAACATTGTAAAATACATTGGTAGTGCATACATTGATAACATTAGTAAGTTAACTGAAAAACACTATGTTTTATAGCCTCTAAGCCGATTTCGATGTGAGTGCTTCCCATAAAGCCCTACTTATTCTGTAATGACTTGAAATTATTGTTGTATTGCGTGTATTAACAACAACACTATTCTCTATGCAATGGCATACCATTAAGTAGTAATGTCTCGGTAACTACAAGCTTTATGGCGTTGTAGTCCCGTGGCAGCTACGAAGTTAGCATTCCAATGCTCACTGTACAAGTTACAAACAGAGATTTAAACACTGTGTCGTATTCGTGTTACGTGTTACGTGTTAATTTAATTGAACAATGACGAAGCCATCTGGTGAATAAAAACTTCACAAGTACTCAGCTGATGGTGACAATGTGTCGAAACATGTACTTAAGTGAAACACGATTCAATGAGCTATTGACGTAAGTAATCCATTCTTACAATAATATCTACAGCTCAGGGTCTTAAGAATGAATTTAAACTACAATTGTTGGTTAAATGAACGATTGTTTTTTAATTCCTCGCCAAATATTTAAAATAACCGCCATTTTAAAGTGGTTTATTATTTCTTATTCTCATATTTTGAAGCAAATATCAATTAAAAAAATCGGTTTACAAATGTTAATAGAATCTCAACACTGTAGCTCTAATCGTTAAGAACTTTGAGTGGTTTTGTAAAAAACGCATTCGGACGGACAGATGCTAAACAAAACACATTATGACATATTTAAAAAAAAATTGCTCATATTCACCAAAAGCATCACTACTTAATTATGCCCCCGAGTTTTTCAAACGCCTAGTCATACTAATATTATAAATGTGAATGTTTGTGTGTTTGTTTGTTTGTTTGTTTGAAGTTCAATCACGCTTTACTACTGGACGGATCGGACTGAAATTTGGCATGATGATAGCTCACATTCCCAATTATTATATAGGCCTATTCTTATCTCAAAAATCCTTTCGGGCTACGCCCCAGTGGCTCTGTCGTTCCCCATGTTAACCTTATGCATATTCATATTCAAAAGGAAGAATTTAGTCAGCTGTTTCAACTATTCAAGATGGTTATTTAACATGCAATAGCATTAAAAAGTTATAAGGTTCACCAACAGGTTGCAGCATTATTCCTTTTTTACTTCTCCCCCTAAACATAGTATGGAGAAAGTATTATTTTCGTCAAAATTATATTACTGGCAAAAAAAAAAATAAATAAAATAAACGTGGAGAGTAATATTTTTGCTACAGATTAAGAGTTTGTCGCATTTCTGCTAAAACAAATTTCATCCAATCCTATAAGTTACCATGGTTTAAGGTATCATGCGGTCAAAGCAAAGGGTTCTTTTATTCAGAGGGCTTATCAACAACTGAGTTATAACTGAGTTATAGGTACTTATCTATCATGGTTATGACGGTTTTCACATCAAAATTGTTTTGCTGATTGACGATATTGTGATTCCCTTTTATCGTGTTTCTGATCCAAATAAAGATCAAGGAGAGTTAATTTTCTCTCAAGCTTAGAATATCTTTAACAGCACTGGAAGTCGTTCAGGCATTTGTGGACCGGTAGCAAATGATTGTATAAACAATAGCAATCTTATTATTCTTTAACTTTTATTTTATTTTCAAAATAAAAAATAATTTTTATAGTTTTAATTTTTTTGGCGAAGTTTATATATGATTCACCTGATGAAATTGTTATGATATAGTTCAGTACAGTTAACTTCTGTAAATCCTCTGGCATTTTCAAAATAACAAAGTTTATATTCCTAGCTCCATTTTTTTTCAAGTTAGTAACAAGCTGTGAAAGTTATTTCAAAAATGTTATAAATACATCAAAGTCATAATCGTAAGTGAACTTGTAGACTCGTAAATCGTTAATTAAAGATTGAATTCTCGCATTTCGAATCACGAGTATTTTAAAGGTATCACCTTACTTACTGACCTCCTTGGACACTGAAACCGGTTATCAGTAAGGTAACAGCTTTCTTCAATTCTCAATGCTAAAAAAACGTTGTTTCGACATTTTAACTCGAAATGAAGCAGAGCGTTTAGCATTCATTAGAAGTTATCAGTTAAAACTGAGAGCAGAAATAATGTGGGTGAACCTTGGCGATGCAAGTAGAGAAATTTAAAATTAGTTTCTAACAAGTTTTCAAACAACTCTAAGATGTAACTAGAATTACTCAAATTTAAGCATAAAATATTTCTTGGCGTTATGTTTCATATTATGTGGCTCATTGAGCCACACGGGTTGTGTAGTTTATTGTAAAAAATATATGGGTTTTCGCAAGCTCTAAAAGTATGTATTGTACATCAAAAGTCAATCATTAGTTTTATGTTAATTAGAGATTTTCAACTTGTTTCTCGTAGACGTTAGCAGTTTTAGCATCATGGATTAGGGCAATGGTTTCTCCTAGTAGTAAGATTCTTCCTATCTTTTGCCTATTCCCAAGCCTTATGTTAATTTCTTCAGCTTCATATAAGACAAGGTTCATGAATTCATCGAACCCAACTATGATACCTTCAAAATGCTTGTTCCTCACTTCTTGTATCCAGATATGTACTCGCACACGACTTTGAAAATATTTTAATATTACATTGACTGGTGATACCATAACATTTACAATTTTTGGATTAGTATGAGCCATTTTTGAAGGGTGAGAAGGTTTTTAACTTCGTCTGGTAAAAAAGTATAAGTATAAGTATAAATTGTTTTAACTCCTTCATATTAAAGATTATCCACTTAAAAATTTTCTGCCTGCCCTACTTTTGCTGATGCTAATATGATTAAAATTAATAATAATAATAATAATAATAATAATAATAATAATGATAATAACACCATCCGACACATACAAACAAACACACTGCCATTAATATGACTAAATGCTCATGAAATACATTTTGGAAACGTTCATCACTATTAGTAGTCAAGTACAGACATCAAGTATTAGAGTTAGTTGACTACATTTATAGATAACAGTATTCCGAGGAACAATTAAAAAAGCCTGGAGTAATTAGCTTTGTTGAGGCTAAAAAATGGTCTCTCCCTTCCGTTATCCTTTTGCAAATCTTATCTATTGCAAACCACAATGACTGCTCGTGCTCAAGCTACCCCTGACGCATTAAGCTTCAATTTAAAATTTATAAAACAAACAAAAGTAATTTTGGTTTTGTACTGGAATGCGCTTAAAATATGCATTTGCATAGAAAGGTAACAGTGACCATTAGCGTTACATGAGCTACGAATATTAATAATTTGTATTTCATCCGAACTTATTTACTTGTTCGTAGCAGGATTTGATTGAGATTAATGTGTTATGGTCCTTATAATAAAAAAAATAGTGCGACCCCCCATTACTGATAAAATTATGGTTTTGTGATTTTACCTATACAGTATTATAATTACTCCGACCACTTCTACTCATGATAAAGGCTGTTGACAAGCTAATGGGAGAAAGTAAGTGTCAGATTGCTGATACCGTTCATTTGAATGTCTAGTTGTGTTAAATGTTGTGTATCCATTGTGGTCCTTCGATCGATGAGAGCTACAGCTGTGTTACTAAACATAGTTAGTGTCTTTCCAAGCTTTGTAGGTTAATTAAAATTATTAGCATGGATTTTTTTTTCAAAATAAAAATTTAACATAGACAATTTTTCCAGTTTACTGCGTTTACAAATAATCATAACTGCCTTTAGGATAGCATAGTATAACAAATCCAAATCCTTTAATTGGGTGGGAGAAAGGGTAAAAAGTGTAAAGTTAAGAGGGGTTCCCTACCCCGCCGAAAACGTCAGAAAACCGCTTCGCGCGGTATCATATAGCGATTCTAGTTTTAACATTTAAATTGTGAACCAAACACCATTTTGTACATAAAGAGTGGTTCTACTAAGTTTGCTTTTTAAAAAATGTCTATGCTTACGCAATCAAGGGCAACGACTTGTCAAAGTTAGTGAACTTTAACTGTAAAGTTCACTAACTTTGACAAGTCGTTGCCCTACAAGCAAACTTAGTAGAACCACTCTTTATGTACAAAATGGTGTTAGGTTCACAATTTAAATGTTAAAACTAGAATCGCTATATGATACCGCGCGAAGCGGTTTTCTGACGTTTTTCGGCGGGGTAGGGAACCCTCTTAAACAGATATTTAATAGTTTTGCCCCATCTTAATAATAAACTATATTTAAGTGTCTTAACTGTATTCAATACAATATCTCATACAAAAGATAATATATACATAAAATGAATGATAGAATATTTCTCTTATACTCATTGATAATTACTCATTTTACTTTAGTACATTTCACTAACTGCAATAAGATTTTGTACGATACTGTCACTCTTTTTCCTCTTTCCGTTTTTCCCAAGGGACTGCTTACTGCGGTCAATTCCATCCCGGATACCATAAGTGTACTACAAACCCTTAATAACAATAATATGTGGTAGTAACCTCACTAGGAAAAATAAATATCATCATTTGTAAATCTTTTTCCAGCACGGTATTTTATCTCCAAGATTGCAAAAAAGTCCCGGGACTGTTAAATATTTTGAAAAACCATAAATATATGACTACGCAACTAGAACTAAGCTACTGGACAGTGGACATAAACAATGAATTGTATAATATTATTCAGTGATACGCTACCTCCTTTGGGAAACGCTCGCTAGGAGTAACAAAATCTTAAATTAAAGCATAGTTTGAAACGCACATTGCATGAAGTATTTTCAGTTTCAGGATTCGTAAAGATGAACTGTTCGTTGGTAGAAGATACTCTGCTTGAGTCTCTCCGCTTTACATCTTACGAACACTTCAACTGTTCTTTGCTCAATTCTACATTTTATCCCTCCATCAACATTTACAGGGATGGAGAAGGTAAGTGCTTTAGCTAAATCGAAGATCCGCAGCTAAGAACCTAAAAAAATAGATACACAAATATTTATTACGTTTAGCTCTAATATTCAAAAATAGTTTGAAGCCCCATTTTATACACACAAAGTAGGACTATTCCAACACAAATTTTCTATAACCCCAATACGATAATAATTACATTTTTAAATTTTTACTAATAACTCATCCAAATTCACGGTATATTTTTACGCAGCTCACATTTTGGTATCTCTTTTTTTCTTTACTTCACTGCCAATCAGCCGGTTATCAGTAAAGTAACAGTTTTCTTCAACTCTCAATGCTAAAAATTTTTGTTTCAACATTAATTTAACTCGAAATGAAGCAGAGCGTTTAGCATTCATTAGAAGTTATCAGTTAAAACTGAGATCAGAAATAATGTGGGTGAACCTTGGCGATGCAAGTAGAGAAATTTAAAATAATTTTCTAAGAAGTCTTCAAACAACTCTAATATGTAACTAGAATTACTCGAATTTAAACATTTTCCTCGACGTTATGTCTCATATTACGTGGCTCATTGAGCTACACGGGTTCTGTGGTTTATTGTGAATTATATGGTGTTTCGCAAGCTCTAAAGTATGTATTGTACATCAAAAGTCAATCATTAGTTTTATGTTAATTAGAGATTTTCAACTTGTTTCTCGTAGACGTTTGCAGTTTTAGCATCATGGATTAGGGCAATGGTTTATCCTAGTAGTAAGATTCTTCCTATCTTTTGCCTATTCCCAAGCCTTATGTTAATTTCTTCAGCTTCATACAAGACAAGGTTCATGAATTCATCGAACCCAACTATGATACCTTCAAAATGCTTGTTCCTCACTTCTTGTATCCAGATATGTACTCGCACACGACTTTGAAAATATTTTAATATTACATTGACTGGTGATACCATAACCTTTAAAATTAAAATTTTTGGATTAGAATGAGCCATTTTTGAAGGGTGATATCCAACGTCCAACTTTTGACAAAATTGTATTTTATTCAATTATTTTCCCTCGACCCTCTCTAGTGATTGGCTGTGAAGTAATAAATTGTCAAATCAAGTCCTCCTGACTATCCTAAACCTAAGCCAAATATCTCTTCAAATAATTCAAAATTTTTGGAATAGTTTAGACCTATTCCAAAAATTTAATTTGATTGTCGATTGAATATTGAATTCAGGATACCAACAATAAAATTATTTTTAAATTCCATCTCATGACACAAATGTGCCTAGGGGTGTGGTCAATGTCATGTCTTTGTGGTTACTCAAGCGCTGCGTCACTCATATTTTGAAACATTGGCAAAATTAGCGAACCTCTCTTTTGAAAGTGTAGACTTTCCAAACAAAATCTACCCTCACATTTCTTATGGAATAAGACTGAGGGGAAGCTGTGCTATCTTCAGGCTCAAACGAGTTTTCAAACTGCAGAAAATGGCAGTGAGGATAATCTGCAAATTGCGGAGGAGAGACTCGTGTAAAAATGCTTTCAGGGTGTTGGGATTGCTCACTGTACCCTGTCTCTACATCTTGGATGTGGCCATGTACTGTAAGTATGAATGCTCACTAGTGCAGGGCCGATCTATGATTATGAGACTTGGGGCAGGGACGATTACCGGACTCTGCAGCATAGAAGTGTGGCGTTTGAGTCTTTGCCATCGCAGATTGGTATCACAATCCTCAACAAACTTCCTGCCAGCATCAAACATCCCGAAACAAAAAAAACAATTCAAAACTCGGCTAAAACGCCTTTTGGTGTCCAATGTGCTGTACTCTATTGAAGATTTCATGAACAACCACTGGGATATCCAAATTCTAGAAAATGTCAAGAAAAGAATTCAGGCACTGGTGTTAAAAAACCCCCTGACCAAATGTAAATAATAACTTGTATTGTTTTTTGACAAATATTGTCTGACGTTTGTAATGCAATGTATTTTGTCGACTACAATAAACACATTATTAAGTCAAGAAGTATTTAAAATAAATTTCTAGGTTTGATCTAGCGATTTTAGTGCCTAAAAATCAAAAATTTATAGAATTGTGACAATTTAAACCAGAAATGTATGGAAACCAGATTTGTAACCTACTGGTACAATAATTTATTAGTGATAAGATTACGTAATGAATACTGTGTTATGACGTTTGGCTTATAAAATAGGCATTTCGTGAAAACAATACAATACCAAACGCTGGTCTTGCTGGAAGTTACTTCTTCAAATGTAAATTTTTAATGGGAAAATTAAAACTCTCTCATTATCTTTACAGAGGTAGGATTAGTATAGTCCTAATGAATAAAGGAGCGCAACGTTTTGGGATTGTAAGTTAAAGAGCTTAGGTTGGTAGAATAGGAAGCTTCCATTAGGATACCGAGTCTGTTTATAATTTCTAAACAACGCCTGTTCGGAAGAGATTTTTTGCTAATGAATATTGAAACGCCTTTTCCTTGAATCAAACGGAAACGTGATCTGTACGTATTCTTTTAGTTAAGATATTGGCCTTTAAAAAGCAACATTCAAATCAAACATACATGTCAATTAACTTTAAGGATTTAATAAATATTTTTACATGTCAGATAAAATCATCAGAAACAAAGCGTGGTCCAAGGATTAAGTAGTAGGAAGTTAATAGTGGTGAACTAACAGTTTAATGGTGAATTTTTGTGTGATTGTCTGATACACAATATTTGTTGTATTGTATAAATGCAAATATCATTAATAAATTGATTTGACCGAGTGATTTCTTTCAACGAATGGATATACACTTCTACATTTCAACCAAGAACAAAATTAAATTAAATAACTAAAGTACATCCCATATTCTACCGTCATAATTTATTCTTAAATGGTTTTGCATTTTAGGGTTCTAAAGGTCTGTAATCTTATAGAAAAATAAATAGAGTGAGTGACGAGGTTTTTAATGAAGGGTGTTGCATTCTCATTAAAGAATGATAATAAATGGTAAACACAAAAGACTTATTACAGGATAATTGTCATACCTAAAACCGTGGTTGTGATTTTCAGGTAACGCTATACAAAATGTATCATGACACATCAATGGTATATAAAACCAGTTTGTCCTTGGCTTTGTATGATTTTTTTTTCAACGTACAAGCATTTTTGACCAATGTTGATGGCAAAGTTAACTAAAATAGGTTGCCAAACTACGTCCGAACATTAAATTATCATGATTGCCTACATCAACCTACTGCATTACTCATATCACAATAACGATCCCTATCCTTACTTCCCTGCTACTTTTTTCTTCCCCGTGTCTCTGTAGGTCTGTACGAGGTGCCCGTGGGCCTGGTGGTGCTACTATCATGTTTCTACGGCACCATCTCCGTGGTGGCTGTAGTGGGGAACTCTCTGGTGATGTGGATCGTCGCCACAAGTCGTCGAATGCAGAATGTTACAAATTGTTTCATAGCTAACCTTGCTCTGGCTGATATAGTCATTGGACTATTCGCCATCCCGTTCCAGGTGAGCCTTATATTAAAATGTATACTGAACTCCTTTTATCAATGAAAGAAGGTAGAATTGATGATGTCAAAGCGTTGCTTTTCACTAAAACAACTACTGTACTTTGAATGGCTAGCGAACCCAAACTATTCTAAGGACATCTAGGTCAAATTAGACTTCTCGAAAAGAAATACTTGTGACTGTCGTTTTATGAATTCTAAAATACTGTAAAATGAATGACAAGGATGTTTACTCAATGTGTACTAAATATGTAGTCATTTACCTTAAAAATTACTACAACCTACTGAATGAACTAACATACATATCTAGCAACAGATTCAATTCACTCGTGTTCTTTTACTTCAGTTGTGATGTTTTTTGACGTTATCCTTAAACCATGGGCTGGAAGTATTTTGACATTGTTTATCATGTTTTTCGAACGTAAAACAATAATTTTTTTTATTTTAAAAAAGATGGAGTGACAGCAAAGTTTAATTTACATCCACTCTCATGTTGATCACGGTTCTTAATGGAGGATAAGGCTAGCATGCATATCGTATCTTGAGAACTTGGCTTAATGAGGGGTTTTATAGTGTAAAAATTTGTGTTTTCCCGTTTTCGACCCTCAAAACACGACATTTTCCATTTTCTCTTTAACCCATTTTAAAGATAGGCTACATTGTAACTGAAACCTTTAGAAATGTTTATTTACAATTTTATATACCAAAATGAAGGCAACCCGTTGTAGACAACCTGTAAACTGAACGCACAAACCGTATTTTTCCCTCAACTTTACTATCTGCTTAGAATATAATTCTACAAAAATATTTGGTCTTAAGTGGCTTCGACGTGTTTTAACAATCGGTGTAATGAGTAAATAAGTTATTCATTTTTAGAATACATTGCCCAACATACACAAGCATTCCACTAGTTAATGAGTGTGAACTACAGAACCAACAAAATGCTATTCAACACGGTATTTGCATCATTCTCATGTTGAAATCCAATATCGAGTAGCAAAGTGACAAAGTTATAGCGTTTGACAATTGGTGCTAACCTAGTTTACTTTAAGGTTTCATCAACTGTTTCAATGGTAAAGGTCAGTTAAATACGTATGATTTACTGAGGATTGGGGGGACGGTGTGTAATTAAATAGTTGATGGAGAGTAATGGCTTTTAATTACAGTGCATTTCTATAACTGTGGATGTACTTCTTAGTTCATTATTGCGTTAATACTCATTACGCACAATGAATGGAACATTGAAACTACTGATGAAGGATTATGAATCCATTTGGGTCAATAACGCAGCAAGTCACTAATGACCGTGGTCGAGTTGTTGGCGTTAAATTAACTGTGGATTTGTATTCTGTACTTGAATAAGTCAAACATTCTTAATTAAGTATGATGAGTTCTTTTATTTCATTGTCTCTATGTTTAATGTAGTGTTTTATATTTTAACTATTTCATTCCTAATTGATTACCCTACTTACACATGTTTAGGTTAGGAGTTTAAGTAGTGCAATAGTTTTTTTTTCCTATTCATTCCATCTCTTTGTAGCAGTAGTCAGATTTTCAATCCAAGAAGACATGACTACTAGGCCTACTCCAAATTATAAATGTCTTTCATTATGTGCCCCATTATTAACTTATCCCTAAATTCCTATCTACAGTATATCCAATTCTTTCCTTTTAATAGCTCTTTAAAATCTATTTCCTCCAGTATTTCTTGTACTTGATATACTTTTACCTAATAATTAACTTTGGCTGATAAAATATATGAAACTTGTATGCCTTCTTTGCACTTCACTATACGATTGTAAGTATCTCAGGCCCACTCTTTTCTCAGCCTAACCACAATTAAAATCCAAGTATTTTTGTCCAGTTTCAAGCGGCCCTGCTACAGAGGTGGAACCTGCCCTACTTCATGTGTCCGTTCTGTCCCTTCGTGCAAGTCCTGACGGTCAACGTGTCTGTCTTCACCCTCACCGCTATCGCTGTGGACAGACATCGTGCCATACTCAATCCGCTCAGGTGGGAGGGTAGAAGCTAATTAGATGTCTCAAACATTCTTGCTATCTGAACTGAGAAAAATTCAAGTATATCCATTTTAACGTACTTGGTCCGTCTTTAGTCTTGCAAAGTGGTCAAAATATTGCTATTTTAAGGCCATATAACTCATTATGTCTTTGATTTTATGTTGGATTTGATATTGACCATTTAATCTGAAACTGGTAATAATTTCACTAGTTTTATGATTGAAGATGCGTTAGATCAAGGTGCGTTCGAATTTACAAACATATTATTAAATTTTCCAACAATTTATTTTGTAATTAGAACGTCTTATTGCAGGGGTTTTGTAAATGATCAAATTTGCAAATTACAGTTATATTCGTAACAATAAGAGTCATCTAGGCTGTCTATACTTAAACCATTAATTAAAGCAAGTTGCATCTAGTCTAGCTGCTTTTAAAATAATGTAGTTTAACTCTTTTCGCTTGTTTCTAATAATTAAAAAAAATCGATTTTAAGAACATGTTTCCCTACACGTTTTGATACATCTTTTCACATAAAGTGAACGTTTACAAGATGATAAGTATACATAAAATATATGTATATATACATATATATATATATATATATAAGCTACAATGGTGATCGATGTCAACCAGTTACATTGGGTATCACCAAGCCAAAACGTAGACTCATTACATACTCTATAGTGATTATCATCGTGTAAATGTTTACGGAAGTAAGTTAATAAAGTGTACATACAATATACTTTAATACGTTAAGATTACTTGTATAAAAATACCAAAGCAAGTAAAATTATAACTACTGTAAGAAGTTAGTCCTAAACTAAGTAATGAAGCGATAAATATTTATCCTTTTTAAATTAATATTATTTTCCCCAAATAAAATTTCATTTAATAATTATTCTCTTAGAAATTGATCAAGTAATCGAAAACATGATTGCACTAAATTATGATACTGTTGCTAAATCATGTCCAGCTTTAGTTCTGTAAGCCGAGTTTCATCAATGTTAGCACTAAAACCTGCAGAGTATTTAGAGGATTACAATACTACGTGTTTATGGCATTGCTTTATAACTTCAAATAACCGGTTCTAATTCTCTGTAAAGTATTTGTTAGTCAAATAGTATATTCTTTCAGCAAACCTTTCGGTAAATTAATAAGAATTAAAACATGTTCATGATAGTTGATTTTGTAACGAGAAAAAAAAATCGATATTTTTTTCTTACGAATGACATTTAACGTTGATTGAAATCGATGTATTTAATAAAACTTGTACAAATATAACGGCATTTGTTAAAGAGACAAGGGCATTGCTGTTTTATCCAGTCTTTATCGATGTTTGATTCAAAAATTTGATTTATTACTTTCCACATGATAAATGATTAGCTGTCCATCATTAACAATTCAACTTTATAATGTTAATCCATGAAATTTGGAATTTCATAAAAATTTTTTATAATCTAATGAGGTTTTGGGCTCAAACATTCAACTTGTATATTTTTTTTACAAGTTTAATAAGATTCTTTCAGAGTATAAAACAAAAACGTTGAATATTTGACTTATTTTCTAGTGCTCGGCCCTCAAAACTGCGTGCCAAGTTGTCTATTGCCTGTATTTGGATGGTGGCTGGTATCTTGGCTACTCCTATGGCTATTGCACTCAGGGTAGAAATAGTGGATGAAGTCGACTCCCGTAAGTAATTTGCGTATTACTGTAAGTAACCTATTAACCCTTACTTGATTATACGTCGACTATACAAGTTCAATAAAAACTTGAATGAGAGTTTTTTTCTATATTTATTTAAAATATATAATTACACTTTTTATTTAATCATAATATATAAATTTGGAGTGTAAATTAAAGTTTATATTTTAAGTTGTGTTGAGGTTCATACCTTACGATATTTATTATTAATATTGAATGAAGTTCTGGAAGAAATTTCCTATTTGTTTACAAGTAAAACGTGAAGTATATATTTTTAAGAAAGCTAAAGTAATAAAAAAATTGATTAATTACACTGCGAATTTTTATTTTTTTTCAACAAGAAATTGAAGCTACGTTATTACAAAAAAGACCACAAATTTGTCAGGTTTTTATTACAATTTGTACTTTTCAAAATAAATCTAGCCTATATAAAAGAAGTGCCATTTTAATTTCTTTATTTGTCATTTATGTGCCATTTCATCATTTTACATTGATAGAATAAATGAATATCCGTACACATTTGTTTGTTTTATTGAATAAATCAAATAACAACACATTCCAATATAGATTTCAATTATTTCACGGTTATAGCCAATGACTCCTATTCCATGAATGTAATATAAAACTGTCAATATGAAAATCAAATACAATTGAATTCTCAAAACCAATATTTCTCGGACAGAATTAATATTCAAGAGTAGTTTGCCACTGATAAATTTGGCTAAAGCTATTGACTTTATAGAGAATTCCAAAATTATTCGATAGATGTCCAAATGTAAATGTTCCGAATGTGATTTTATTCCTAGTATTGCTGTCAATACTATCAAAATAATTAATGGATAACTTTAAACCAATGTTTGTTAGCACGTCGCACCTTTGCACAATATCTACAAAACTTGACTTTGATTATTGTCTGATTTGTGTTCTGTTTCATCAGCTTAGAGTTGTCTACGGTAAACATATTTTTTAGGTAATTCCTCGTTAAAATCTCAAGAGGTAAGAGAGGGAGTAAACGGAGTCCATTCAAGGAAAAGATTTACAAATAAAAAAAACTTAAAAGCATACACAAAACCTTATTGGATTTTCCTGCACAGCTTTTAATTACGATAGAGATTGTGAATCCACTAACATTGTTTCCTAATTGTTGCCCCTTAATTATTTACACTATATGGTTCGTATTGTGTGCCAAACTCTTAGGAATAAATTAATTATTTAAGTTGCCAATAGCCAATGACTATCACAACAATAATTAGAAAGCTTGAATTTCACTGTGTATTTAACATGATAAGATTTTGAATCATTTTTAAATTACCTTTACCTATTTGACTCAAAATATCCCTGAGAAGGAAAAGTAAAGATCTACCACTCTAAGATCTTATTCTAAGATACCAAAAATAATGCAAATTTACAAAACTTTATCACCAAATTGTCAGACCTGTTACTTGGTACCATCGATGTATGTAGTCTAACATTGCATTACATCGATGATTGGTACAATGTATAAGTAATGAGGTTCGAATCTGTCCAGAGGGTAGACTGGTGTACAAGCCGTTCTGTTACAACGTCAACATGCCGGACGAGGCAATGCTGAGCTACAGGTTTGTGCTGTTTTTCGTGCAGTACTTCACCCCGTTGTGCGTCATCTCTTGTGTTTACGTGCGAATGGCGCTGCGACTTTGGGGTTCCCGCGCTCCCGGGAACGCTCAGGACAGCAGGGATGCCAATCTCATGAAAAACAAGAAAAAGGTACATTACATAGTAGTTAGGATAAGAGTGACTTCCCCCAACTGGGTTTCAGATCAATATTTTCGTATGTTTCATAGAGAATGTTTATTTATTTCATTTTTCCTAATAAGGAGTGTACAGTTGCGCTTTATCAATGTGGTAAATTACGACGGAAAAAACTAAATTTCGACCAAACCATAAGTTAAAGACAGATAATATTAAATAAATTCAGCTTATTGCAAAATAATAGTATATCAGTGGTGCCATAAACATTAATTTTACAAAATATGAACTATTTCAAGCGAAAAAGTGTGAAAATGCGTGATCTGTGGTTTACCCATCGGTTTCAGTAAACTGGGTATAATCTAAATCGAATTTGTGGGAAACAGGTCTAAGAGGCAAAAAAAATCGATAGAACTCTCCATTTACTGAAATGTTGTACGGTTGAATTTAAAATCTATTTATTTATAATAATACCAACTAAAATAATTTTCGAATAAAAGAGCTGCAAAATGAACTTGTTATTCCGCACTGTTGAACGACAAGCAAATAATAACACAACGAATGTTTTGTTTGAAACATTTCTTCGTTAAATAAATAAAATAAACCTATTTACTTTGCAGCCATAAAATATATCGCTTGAGGTGGTGTTAAGCTGATTAAAATGTATTTATTGGTTACAATTCCGTTTCTATGCAAATTTCAATATTATTTATCATATTTTAGTTCTGGTGTAGAAGTCTAAAAACACGGTAGTTTCAACAAAGGGTTCTACCATTGTTACAAATAGCTATGTTGGCATTAAACTATGTCCCTTTATATTACATTAGTCCTTCGTGATTAAAATATATTTTGTTTCGTAATATAGATGCCTACTTGTTTTTATTTTCAATTAAAAGAATTTCATCTTTCCACCGCTAGTGTTTTAAATTACAGTACACTACGATTCAGGAGGTAAGGGAACTCCTCCCAATTTCAAGTGACCAACCCCAAATTTATCATTCTAATAAACCAACCTATCCTAAAATGTAAGGTTAGGATATCGAGTCACACGTAAACAAGAAGAATCGTATTACCTCCCGAAAAATATTGCAGTCTAGAACACTAGAGATACGAAAGGTCCAACTAATTTACCATAAAGTAGAATAAGGATTGTTTGCAGTAATTATTGAAAGCACAATATTCGTTTGTTTTGGGCATTACTCTTAAAAACATTTACCATTGCTAACTCCACCACCACCTAATATTAATTTCATGAATTTTCGTTGCCTCTAAAACATCATTGTTATATGTGTTATTTTTACATGATTATTTTTATTTGTAAATTATTTCAGATTCAATTAAAGTATCCAATACAATCATTTTAAGGCACTGGTTATTGCTTTAGTTCTGTTTGGTCTTTACTGTTTGCCTCTTTTTTAGATTAAGTTTTGTTGGATATTACTAAAAAAACTTCAAATAATAGATCAAATCTATTTTGCAGGTGATCAAGATGCTTGTGATTGTGGTGGCACTGTTTGGTCTCTGTTGGCTGCCTCTTCAAACATACAACGTACTACAAGACGTCTTTCCTGAAATTAACAAGTATTTGATTACTGTATTTATAAATACAATATGTGTTGCAAAAATCACACACCTTAGCCCATTGATGACAGTCACCACACCTACATCAAAACAGATAGTATTAATTCTCCAAAACAAACTTATCTCAACCAAAGATGTTTTAGAAAGTAGGAACAATATCAACAACTTAATTTAGAATTGTCTGGACAGTAGCCGAATACTGCTGTGTGCACAGTTATACAAGTGTAATGTAAGGCTATGCAATGTTATTGTATTATGATTGAAATTCCTATTATTATAATTGAAATTGAAATTATGATTGGAAAACCTATTTCCTATTTTTAAAGTGGATTATGAAAATACTTAAACAACAACCATCCTTAACTCATGGCTTGTTTTTTCTCAACTTTCCCAGTTTTCCCTCAGTTTCTCACTTATAACTTATTTTATGACAACACGCTATACAAATGCTAAAAATACTAAAAATTGACGGAAAAACTATTATATCCTCGTTCATAGTAAAATCCTATACAGTATTCTATTAATATTAAGAATTGTTTTGACATTGGTTTTACTTGAGTACCTAAGTCTAAACACACGGTAGTTTCAACAAAGGGTTCTACCATTGTTACAAATAGCTATGTTGGCATTAAACTATGTCCCTTTATCTTACATTAGTCCTTTGTGATTAAAATATATTTTGTTTCGTAATATAGATGCCTATTAGTTTTTATTTTCAATTAAAAGAATTTCATTTTTCCACAGCTAGTGTTTTAATTTACTGTACACCACGATTCAGGAGGTAAGGGAACTCCTCCCAATTTCCAGTAATGTCCAATCTATGGTGATAGTTTTAACGTAGCACAATTTCATAGTTAAATTGCTTTCAGGTACCGCTACATAAACGTCATCTGGTTCTGTTGTGACTGGCTAGCGATGAGCAACAGTTGCTACAACCCATTCATATATGGAATCTACAATGTAAGATTTTATACTTGATTTATTATACCCTCTATAATGAACAAAACTATACTTGCTGTTATAAATAACACTATCGAGCTTCATACATGATATTTGAAATTTACATTTCCTACCGTAATTTCATATGTAGTTATAGTACACTGTTTTGTTTTATCACCGATTAGAAATATATTTCCAAACTTAAGAAGATTCTAATGATATGTTTTAGAACTTAGAATCCAAACAAGTAAGAAGTAGGGTGTACACGTAGGCCTGCATACTTAACTGCAATTTAAGTTTTATGGGTAACACCATGTCAGATTAAAGCTGGAGTTTTGGACTAGTTTGCAGATGAATAATCTTCACATCACTAGCAGTAGTGCTCCATTACTGGTCTAAAAATGAGTACCTTCTAGGGTATTTTAAATTTCTAAGGTTTTTGGGTGAGTTACCCGTAATATGCCACGGTATCCAAATACAAACTTCTTGTATACTCAACAATTGCTCTGTTTCACCAGGAAAAGTTCAAGAGAGAGTTCAAGCAGCGGTTCCCGTGTCACAGAAAGTGGCTGGGTACAGACAGTATAGACATGGACAAGACATACCTCGGAGCTCGCAGTTCTGTACACTCATCGCACAACAGTCCTCACCTGACGGCGCAGTCTACACCGCAGTCACAGAGGTACGACTGGCACGGGTACATCAGGAACCACAACGGGTCACAGTACAGGGCGGCCAGCACACGGGCCAAGGATCTGTACGTGTTTACCAACAAGAACACCACAGTGGTAAGACACGCCAGCAGCACGGAGCTGGAGGAGCTCTGTCTGTAGAAGTGATGAGGAATATAACCGTATGAAAAATATGGGAGGCCAACGAGATTATCGGTATCAGTATCTCGACACGTTTGATCAGAGATCAGAAAGAAGATGATCAAGATGACTCCCGTCGCCTATACGAAAGGTAAATGAAAGACCGTCGCTTCAAGAAGAGGAGATGGATGAAATGATTGCTTCGAAATGATATTTAGGACACGAAATTGCTGATTTGATCATATATAACAATCGGATCATTAATGTCTACACTGAATGAAAACATAACTAGCTAATATGTTTCAATAGAAAGATCACATGAGTTTCTATCGTAGCAGTAATACTACATGTGTTGTGCCCTAGCTCAATTTACGGAGAACCTTTACATTGGCTCCTCAAGACGATACAATGTATTATAAATTGACCACTGTGTTTTGTATAAGTTTATGCTCGTAACCCGGCAAGTCATGTTCTTTAATTTCCATTGGTAGGAAACCATTATTTGAGTAAATTTATTTGTTTACAGGTAAAGTGAAAGAAAATATTAGCTACACTGAATACAAATACAGGTAGCATAGACTTATTCTGGAGGAAAAACATATTTAAGCACATCGGATAAACATCTTGAATCGAGATAACGAGATGTCCAAAACTAAAACTATCTATTGTGGTTTCCAAAATCCAAATATTCTTAGCGACACATTAAGTATGTCAATAATATATTACTTGAAAATTGTTTGAGCTAAAAGACCAAAACCTATTTTGCTTTTCTGTTAAACTCTTTTTGACCCGAAATGAATTCAAATATTTTCACTTTAATTCCTTGTTTACAGTTATTGCGTTCCTTACATTATATCTAGAATATAAAACGTATACGCATACGAAATGCCAAGTAGTTTATATTAGTTGATGAGTCGGTGGCTTAATCGGTAACGACTTCGGGCCCAAGGCAGTCAAGTCGTGGGTTTTCTTATCCGCTATCGCTCGCCCCCTTGCTATGTTAAATATTCCACGCACAGGCCCATGGCATAATGTGGACGAGAAAATACATCGTTACAAGAGGCCGCCAACCTCTTAAAAGTACTGCACACAGGCCTGACTAACAGAAAAATAGTTTTCACTCAACATGTATTTTAAGATTATATCAATGGTTCAATGCTTAACAATATTTTGTATTCAAGGAAAAAAACACAAAAAGGAATTAGGTTTGTAAAAGAATTGTAAATTCTCGTTCAACGATATTGCATATCACTCGTAAACAAAGTTAAAATAGTTAATTTATACATAGATACTTAAGGCACTTCTTTGTGATTAGTTATACATGAGGAAAGATAAAATAACGAGAAATATTGGTATTTCATGTTATTGTTGATGTTGATTCTTGGTACTATTAAAAAACAAACGGTTTATATTTTCATAAGAGGGATTTACGTCTTAAAAGTTAGGAAATGAAAGCATAGTAAATGTTATATAAATTATAATAATTTACCGACAAGGGTAATTTTTTTATCTAGTTGGTGTAATTTATTGTTACATTACTAGAATCGTGTTCTACAAAAGTTGATGTATAATTTAATTTATAAATATTGTACAGCTATGTTTAAAAGTTCCAAAATTAATTTTTAATAAAACATTATTACTAATCCCTACACTTTTATTGATCCTAATTGTTGCACCAAAAATATAATAAGAATGATTGGTCTACAATTGAGTATGTGTTGTTGGTATGCAAAGTAATCAATGCACAATATGTTTAAAAAAAATTATTGGATTAAAAAATGTTAAGCTAGAGTTTTGATCTTTGAATAGTATTCTTTGAAACTGCCTTCAAAGGAGGAGGGCTAGCTCTCAATTTAAGAAAGAAAAACAGCGGAATACTTGTTTTCTAGAAAAACTTTATTTTTGGTGTACGATTTTAAAGGTTAGTAAGATACTCGAATAGAAAATCCAAATTGCTGAATAAATCCAATGTAACTCCTCCTTCCAGAACAGCAATTTTAATATATATTTTACAATTTTTCTTAACACTGCCTAAATACAGTACCTATGCAGTGTGTTAAAAAAGTCCAGGGACGGCTTAATATATTTTTTTATCAACACAGAAACGATGGTACAGTTTTGTATCTAGATGTTTTCATAAAAACCTACCTTTTTAAGCAATTATCAATTATCCTCTCCTGTAGAGGGAAAGCCTAGAAGGAATTAGAACACAATCTTTAATGTAAGCATAGGTTGAGATGCACATCTAATAAAAAGGTATTTACTATAAAAATACAATGCCGTCAATTTGAACTCAAACGGACAACCAAGTAAAACATTACAGCCTTTCATAGATATCTTTAAAAAAATCTGCAATTTTGCATCTTTCAACGGTTGCCATTTTTTACTCAGTTGTTATTTTGAGCTCAAATTTGTGGCATGGTATACTAATTAACACCTTTAATTCTATGTGCATATCGACCAACCTATGTATGTATACGTTTATAAATTATTTTGCATACGTTTATAAGGTAGCTTATAAAGCAATGCATATTTAAATAGCTTTCATTTTTGGCTCGGTAGGTTAAAAATATATTAAGCCTTTCCGGGACTTTTTTAACAGACTCAATGAAATAGTAAAGGGGTAGGTCAAGTTAAAAAAAAATACCATGTCTTTACTTCACCCATTGAATACAATTTATAAGAGTACTACAAACATACCCGAATGGCTGTTTCATAACATTGAATTTATATTTATTTTCATCGAGCTTTACGAATGCGTTTAAAAGGTTATTTTATAAGTAGACTTTTTATTAAGTAAACAAAAAATTGCCTAACATTTGTGTAATGGAGTACAGCTACAATCCATATAAATATCATAAGTTTATTTTAAATCCTACTATGAGCTTTCAGTGTTTATTATTATAAATATATCCCCAGATTTAAGCTTATAAACCTTCGGGATATCAAAGGCTATATTAAGCTATCCATTAAACTATAGCTCACCAACAATACAAGCTATACAGCAATACAATTCTGTGGTACAAATCTATTTCATGCTTGTTATTAAGCTCGTCTGCTGCAATCGTGGGATTATTTCCTTTGACTCCGAAAGGGCGGAAGAGACAGAAATGGACGGAAACACGATATTTGATCGTATCCCGATATATCTCCCGGTCTAGTTTGCACAGAATATACCTTTCTTGTAATGTTATCAAGAGTAAATAATACCCACAGCAGCAAACCTGCAGACTTAGCCAATTTTCATTTGCCTGATTGGATTTACACTAAAATGTCCCCTTAAAAATATCACATTTATTCCCTATTTAAATAGGGAACGATAATTATAGTTAAACGATAACTTAGGTTTTCTGCAACAGGGAGGGTGAAAAAGTAAATTTTGTTTTTTGCAAAATGTTAATACTGTAGTTTAGTGAGAAATGAATGTATTTTCCAAATTTCATCAATCAAAATATGTTCATAAACAAGTAAACTACAACAGTCGACTTATTCTCCTTAATAATAACATGGGAATTTTAAATTTACAATTTTTTTTAGAGTTTCTCCGTAACCATTAGCCGCATAATAACACTTCAATATACTAAATTATTTGTTTTCTTAAGCTCTACAAAATGGTTTGAAAATAAATTGTAAAATGTTGTGTTTTTAGGGGAAAAATTGAAAACCCCTATTTTTACCCCATAAACTCCCCATAAACCCCCGTTCCCATAGTCCGATCATGCTGGTTTGCGAACTCGTTTGAATAAATGTAAGTTTACACGGTTGTACCAAATTCCATCAAAATCGGATCATTTTTGCTCGAGTTATCGTGCTAACGGACACACATATACATATATGTGAATTTAAACGGGAGGTGTTTTTGGCCTCTATGGACCTCAAAACAAAAAGGTAAATCGGTCCCGGGTCCAGGTATTACCGGTAATAGCTTATTCCCTATATGGGAAATTCGCTAAAAGATAATAATTGCTATTAAGTATTTTTAAATTTTATATTCTCAACATTAACGTGGCTAGATATTTTAAGTGTTCAGTTAAATTACTAACGGTGAGTAATTTGTATAGGTGTATGAAACGTAAATGTATTTCTACGTAACCACTAAAAATATGTTGTGTTCATTCTGCTCTAGTATATAGTACTTTTTTATTTTAATATTACTTATGTTCTTGGTGGTCCCCTGTATAACAAATTAAATACATAAATACCCTGTTGCATTAAACCTGCAGACTAAGTGAATTTCTATAGACCTCGTTGTTCTCTAAGTATTCCCTTAAAAGTGTCAAATTTATTTCCAAGATTACTTAAACGAGTAATTAGGTTTGCTGCTTCAGGATTACTAATGAATTGTGTAAATCGTATTATAAAATAATTAAATTTGAAATGCTTTATCAAAATATGTCCATAAAGAAGCAAACTACAACAGTTTAATTATTTCTTTCATAGAAATTCGAAGTATTTTATAGTTTAACCTTACAACGTTAGATTAATGAGAATACTGTATTAAGGTTAGTTAGATTGTTAAATTGGTTCAATAAGTTAATCATAATTATTCTCTGTATGACTTTAAACTCATCAAGAAATCATAACATAACACATACCTTTTTATTCTAATTTTTTAGGTTTTCAACGGGCTTAAGAATTAAAATCTGCCCCAAAGGGATAAGAAGAATTTAATATCAGCCTCTGTTTTAGGCTTTGAATGTCTACGTGTTTCAGTAAGTTCTATGAGTTCTATGTGGCCAGAGAGCACAGAATAGAAACAAGTCACAAGCACTTGAGTCAAACACTTCTAAAGCGATGTGTGTATGAAAATAATCTGAGTTAAACAACTTTTGAGTATTTGTAAAATAAATAACTATCAGTGTTGTAAATTCACTGTTTGGATTGGTTGTTGTGGAAAAGTTGACGAAAATTGTATCAGAAAAGGTATCGGAAGCGATAGCTTCTACTCATTGTTTTTTCTGTTTTGTTCACACTTAACTCAATAAAGGTAAGTTCTTGAGAAAAGTAAGTAGATAGTGAGAGAAGTTGGGGACACAGATGAAAATATAAACTCAGGTGTATTTGAAACGAGGCTACGTTGAGGATTTAAACTAAACAAATTACTTAGTAAATTTACTCTTCCAACTGCACTGTTATCTTAATCTGGGTGAATCACTATCGTTATCGTAGGGACTGAAAACACTAGACCTAAAATAGTATGTCATTATATTGTAACATTTACTAAATATTATTTTTCTTAAAGAAATATTAACCAATAAGTTTATGATATATGCTAATTGCTGGAAATTAGCACAGTTTTGGTTGTATTTTAATTTTAGGAAAACCCTGAATAGAGGCCTAGGAATATACACATAAAATAAACTATTGCATGAATGCTGCAAGTTAAATAAGTAATTTAGTTTTGGATTTGAAAAAAAGCAAGCAAAATCAAACAAAAGGAATAATAAAGCACTGCATGACAGTTTTATTCAAAGTAATCCTAGGGCTGTAAATAGCCAGTGTCTTTAATATTTAAAGCGTTCCTTTGTCGTCTTATTTATCCACCATTGATTTCTCCCACTCTTTATTTACTATTTAAAAATACGTTATTTTCAATGAATTTTTTTACTACACAAGAATTATACACTAAACAAATATCGTGGTATATATCTCTAAATCTTTAAACTAAATTTGTCAAATAAAACTGCACAATTATCCCCTATATGCATAAGAAATACGAGCTTAAAAACAAGGTTGCAGGAATAAAATTTCAAAACCAAGCTGGAATGGAAATAATTATGTTAAGTTTGTCCTGACGAATCAAAATTATCTTTTGATATACAATAGTCTTCTTTTCTTTGAGTATCCTTGATAGACATTAAACAGATAAACCTGCAGTTCTAAATACTAAACTTTAAACTATTATGATCCAGTATAGTAAAAATATTGACAATGGTATACTGTATAGTCAATGATAACAGTAGTATAGGCGTATATTGCTATGACAAGCTCTTTACAGATTGCTGAGCTTGGAAGGAACTACTCGTAGCTTAAAAGACGCGATGATATGACCTTAAAATACCCTAAAACAAAAGGATGTTTCTTATATATGCAGTCTTAAAAAATATTTTAATTTTAGCAATCTTCCATCTAGAGAAGTAGATATTTTCATAACTCTAATGTTACGATCCAGGCTTGGGTATGTCGTACTGAAATGAGCTATTTCTTAGTAAAAAATAAACTTAAAACAAAATTAAATATTTGTATGTATTTCAACATATTGTACATCGTACATAAATTTAAATAAACTTATTGCTTGAAGGTTACCAAAAAACTATTACGTGAAACGTATAAAAATAATAATTGTAATAAAACAACATGGAATAACATCACAAAAATATGTAGCTACTTTAAGGATATCTATATCTTTTAAAAATATCATTCACGATTTCTGAATAGAAACCTTGCTATACATGAGTAGTTTTGAAATAAGTAAAAATGTTTAGTGTTTTTTTTTCTTTTTTTATGCTAA